ATCCACTGAAGAACAACTCTCTATTTTGTATTGAATAAACAAACAATCTTTTGATATTTACTTCTTAAACCAAGAGTTGAATACTCAATCAAACATCAAAGAAAACTAGCAAAGAAACTCCATATGTAAACCCTAATATCCAAGAAGAAGATTTGGAAGCCGTAACCCTAAAAACGGATGAAACCATATATTTATAGAAAATTGAAAGAATTAACTTCAATTAACTTCTGAAATGTCTCTCCAAGGCGCAATTTGGGTTTGATTCGCATTTAAAACTCAAAGCCTCACTGAAATAAAAAGATCGAATAAAATTACAACTGAAAAAAATTTTGTCAAACGGGATTGCCAATAATAAAAACCTAACAGGTGGACATATGACGTAGTAGATATGTGGACAAATGGACAGATAAGTGGGGGTAATATGGTCTTTCAAATTGTTTTGTCCTTTTGGCCCTAAAAATAATAGAGCTTAAGAATATTGCCATCCAAAAACTTTGAGATTGGACTTATAGCTCGAGTTCCCAAATTAATGGAATTAAAATTACATGGATCAAATTGATACAAAGTGCAAATAATAATGACTAAGGATAAAACTTTCCATGATATTAGAATTCTAATTTAAGGTGCTCCTAACTTAATGTCATGCAATTTGTGTATTGATTTATTTATGTGAAGAAAATTAAGGAAATAAGGGAAATAAAGCTGCAGTCGTAGTAATAAGACTCAAACCCAAGTTTTACATCTAGTAAGGAGTACCTCAACCAGTAGACCAACTTGTAGACACTCAATTTTGGTTGGGTTACTTCTTAAACCAAGAGTTGAATACTCAATCAAACATCAAAGAAAACTAGCAAAGAAACTCCATATATAAACCATAATATCCAAGAAGAAGATTTGGAAGCCGTAACCCTAAAAACGGATGAAACCATATATTTATAGAAAACTGAAAGAATTAACTTCAATTAACTTCTGCAATGTCTCTGCAAGGCGCAATTTGGGTTTGATTCGCATCTAAAACTCAAAGACTCACTGAAATAAAAAGATCGAATAAAATTACAACCGAAAAGAATTTTGTCAATCGGGATTGCCAAGAATAAAAACCTAACAGGTAGACATATGACGTAGTAGATATGTGGACAAATAGACAGATAGGTGGGGGTAATATGGTCTTTCAAATTGTTTTGTCCTTTTGACCCTAAAAATAATAGAGCTTAAGAATATTGCCATCCAAAAACTTTGAGATTGGACTTATAGCTCGAGTTCCCAAATTAATGGAATTAAAATTACATGGACCAAATTGATACAAAGTGCAAATAATAATGACTAAGGATAAAACTTTCCATGATATTAGAATTCTAATTTAAGGTGCTCCTAACTTAATGTCATGCAATTTGTGTATTGATTTATTTATGTGAAGAAAATTAAGGAAATAAGGGAAATAAAGCTGCAGTCGTAGTAATAAGACTCAAACCCAAGTTTTACATCTAGTAAGGAGTACCTCAACCGGTAGACCAACTTGTAGACACTCAATTTTGGTTGGGTATAATACTTGGTGCCATTTTGGAAACTTCGCCCAATAATGAATATAAAAAATGGTTTGGAATCTCCGATTTGTCAACTTTTACCCATAACCAGATGCGTTTAGATGGACTTTAGCCTAGCCAAAATTTCTTTATAAAAAATTCTGCGCACACACACACCCCCCCCATAAGCACATGTTAAATAAATGAAAGAAAAACCCTACCTCCTGAAGACGAGGAGAATATGAATTATAGAAATCACTTGAATCAACTTTTGGCTTGGATGATATCGAAGCCCTCGTTAAGCTCTACGATGTTAATACTTGGGTCAGAGATCGATTTTGACTCTAATGGCTCTATATCAATGGTTGAAAGTCTGTAGTTATGGTGGAAAGAGAGAGAGAGAGAGAGAGAGAGATAGAGATGTAGTAAGTGAAAAGAGAGATAGAGTTTTCTACAGAAAATAAAAAGGGATTTAAAAATGCTAGGATGAGAGGCTGCAACGTCATAGCTTTTTAGCCTTGGTCACTCGTGTGGTGCCTTGCTGCACATCTAGAGCTTAAGAAGAAATGTATTCTCACTTCGCCGCTCGTGCGGATCTCAATACCGCTCAAGCGGTGGCTAATTACTCGAGCAATGCCTTGCCCAAAATCTTGGTCCTATACTGCTTTTTGATCGAGGTCAAATTTTGAACAAGTTCACTTATGCAAAAGTGTTCCTAGGTCCTCGCTTTTGATCCTTATGCCTGGAACTCAAATATTAAAAATAACACAAGTTAGATAGGAATTAATACCTTCTTCACATAATCAAAACACAATTCATCAAATCAAGGATCCGAATGTGTATCGGGCATCTATCTAAATGGGTTTAAATAAAGTTTAAAACCCGAGATGCTACACATAAAGTTGGTTGTGTTTATTACCTTGCAAAGGATTGTGATAAGTTCTATGTTTGTGGGTAGCATATGATTTACATTGTATCACTTGTATTTTTAATTTGTTTATCGAGTAGATGTTTTGTCATAAAAATACTGTAATATATTTGGTTGGCTATTTTTGGAAACAAATTTAGTTGTTTTGAAGTGTTAGAATATTTTAGAAGTATGAGGGTATTTTGGTAAAAGTATCATCCTCAGTCATCCTATTATACAAGGAATCAAGTTTCGTTTCATTACTGGATCAGATAAGGTTTGCATATATGTTTCAGTTGCATTGATAAAGGCTTTATTTTATTTTATTTTATTTATTTATTTATTTATTTTTTACAAAAAGAGTTTTACAAGAATATAAAAACGTATCTTACATTGGTTCTTAAAGGAATACAAAAACCTATTATGAATTGGTTTTGAAGAATGGAGATCGAAGTTGAAGCTTTGTGGTGTTTTGAAGATCAAGAAGGATGACTGGGTCAGGCTGCGCTCATAGAATTACTACAAGTCAAATAAATGGGGGTTGGAAGATATACACAGATTACTACATATTTGCCCTCATGTAAGAGGGTCCGAATGAATGTCCTACTTAACTAATTATTACAACACCTCATAAATAAATTAACTACATTAACTAATTATTACAAATTGAATGAATCTGATTAATTAATTACAACACAAAATTAATTAACTAAGTAACTAGCTATTACAATTTCAAGGCAGTTTAACTAATTAATGAAAATGAATCTACTAATTGGCATTAACTTCACGAGCCATGGGAAATAGAGAATCGGGTATGCATGAACACAAATTTCTTCCCAAAAACTCCTCTGTTTTGCTGCCAGAACTATTCTGTTCACAGTCAGAAAATTACTCTATTTTCACCCTCAGTCTCTGCTTTGTTCTACCATAAAAATGGCACTGTTTGCCCAAAATAAGGTGGCCGATCGACCTTGAAAAGTGGCCGGTCGGATGGTTAGGTGGCCGCCCAGCCACTATTTTTTGACATTGCCCTACTGTAATAGAAATGAAACAGAGCACAAAAAGGGAGTTTTCAGGGGATGTTTGTCCTCTCTGCCTCTCCTTATCATTAAACAGATCAAAGGAGGGTTAGGCTCGATTCGCAAATCATCAATCGACGCAATCTCGTTGCATGATGATCTATGAATCGATGGGTCAAAAGCTCAATAAATTGAAATGAAAGACCAACGAAACCTACTCCCTATCATGGAGTTACCTCTCTAGGGAAGTGGTAGACATCACTTCTCAAATCATTAACATCACTAATGAGTATGTAATGACACGAGACACGATAGGTTCAATTAACGTCCGATTGAACCCAAACCAATTTTATTACTCTTGTTACCATTTTAGTCCAATTTTATTAGCCTCTTTTAATTACCTTTCCATTCTTTAATCATTTTAGTCCAAAGAGTGAGAGTTATGTCCACTAATGAAGAGAAGTGTCAAACAAGAAGTTGTTCATGGCATGAGAGAGATGTAATGCCTTGGTAATGAACCTCTGAAGAGATTAAACCATTTAGCATGAGGGGGTCTCTTTTTCATACTTTAAACAACCATCAATTGTTTGAACCAACTCTTAAACAAACAAAGAGAAAACCAAGAAAGGAAGGAGGTTGCAGAGGTGATTATTGCAAGTGTGAACACATGTATGAAAGCTACGAAAATAAATGCTATCAACTCAAATAAGTTGGTGTCTAAGGCCTAAACCACCAAACCTATGAGGACTACAACACTACAAGCATACTATGCAAAGCAAAAATGACTAAAACAGTCCTAAAACTCACAAAAACAGTGCTAGAAAATTAGTTTGAAAAGCTTAAAAAGTGAGCGAAAATTATAGAGAATTGAAGCTAGTAAGAAAGCCTAAGGAGGAGTGGCCAACCCCTCCATTTTTTGGACATCAAAATCACATATTTAGCCTCTGAAAAACTTTGAAAATCAGTGGTAAAAAGTTGGAAAAGAAGTGGGAAACACAAGGACCAAAGGTTAGAGAGTAAGGTTCAAAGAATGGTAGTTAACCCCTCCACCTTTAGCAGCTTTAAAATCACAAGTTTTAGCCCATAAAATCAGTCCAAAAACAGTATACATACATTATCGGGCCTAAAGCCGGGGCTAGTCGGGCCTTTTTTCTTTTTGAAAAATAAACGATAAATACATTATCTATGTAGATTATTTATTAGGAATAAAAAATACTAGAGTATTTTAGTTAATATTAATGAGATATTTTGTTTGGTTATATTTCATGGAGTTATTTAAATTTAATTATATATGATTTATGTATTTTTAATTATGAACTTATAACTAAAAAAACGTACGCAATTAATTTTTCTCTCTCGAAATGAATAATTTTATATATACGAAAATGAAACTTTCAATATTACAATGTTAAATTAATTATATAACATTTATTGAATAAATAATTTTTATTTCAAAATGAAATAAAATAGGGGCATTTACATACAAGTCCCATTTTGTGAACTTATAATCCATTAAGTCCTAAATAAAATTATGTGCTCCTTCAAGTCCCATTAATTTTTAATTTCCAGAACTCCTTCAATAAGTTGGGGTCCTTCAGAATCTCCATTTACACGTTCATCACTTCTTCTCTTTCCATCTCTGGCCACTACATTAGCGCCTTTCTCTTCCGCCACTGCCTTCTTTCTCTCTGAAATCTCATTTCTCGCTTCTATCTGCTTTGATTCAAAGCTCTTCTCCTTCCCTTCCATTTGCTTTGACTCATCGCTACCTCGAATATCGCTCTTCTGAGGCTGTGACGGCGGTGACCCCATCGACTTTTTCAGAGTTTTCACGTCGCTCTTTCGAGGTTGTAGCAGAGGCGGAGGAGGAGGCGGAGGAGTGTGAGTGGTTTGAGATTGGTGTTCAGAGAAGGAAGTGATGAGCTTGGGTCGGCGAATGTAGAGAATGCCATTGTTGAAGGCAGCAGTGATTCGATTGGTGTCAGAGGTTACTATCCGAAGATGGGTTCCCATCATGGGTCAGTGATGGAAAAGAGGAAATTGCTTCAGACAGGGAATGTGAAGCCTAATGCAGTGGTTGTTAAGGATGGATCTCGAATTGAACCCTAAATTGCAACCTTCGAAGTCAAAAAGTTCACCAGATCTGAAATTGTAACCCTATGTACTCGACTACATTGTTCTTTTGAATTCTAATTTGAAATTGAGAACATTCTCAGTTTATAATATTCTCAATTTTAATCATGAAAAAAATTGAGAAATTTCTCAAAATTGATAATTATAAATTTCTTAGTTTTGATAATATTCTTAATTCATGCTAAAAAAAAATTGAGAAATTTCTTAGTTTTAATAATTATAAATTGAGAACATTCTTAGTTTTGGATATATATATATATATATATATATATATATATAAGAAAATAATTTTGTTGAAATGTCAAAAACTTTTAAAAAATCTTTATATAAGGCTCCTTGGCGCTAATTAAGTTCTGTGGGAGTCAGTACTTCTCCTATTGATGTTGTTGTAAAAAATAAATCTATTGCTGTTCTTTGTTCACAAGTTATTTTTAATATATTATACGTTGAATTCCACCTATTATCTACATCTAAAATTAATTTTGTAAACAACATATTTCTGGTTGACAAATTTTTCTATATTTCCAAATTTGATTAGCAGAAAACATAATAGTAACAACTGTATTTTTTATTACAAGTACAAAAGTCTTGTATATATGCATAGCTTCTTTAACAATCAAATTTAAAATATGGGCACAACAACGAATATGAAATAAATCACCATTGACAAGTAATTGTAAAGTTGATTTTAAATAGGTTACAGTTTGATTATAATATGCTGCATTATCTAAGCTAATCGTAAATATTTTATTTTGTAAAGCCCACTCTATAATACATTTCTTGGTTCTACACCAAGCGAATGGCCAGTGTATGGAAGTTTAACTAATTTAAATGAAATAATTCTTTTATTTAATTTCCAATCATTATCAATAAAATGTGTAGTGATACATTGATACTCAAAAGCATTATTTGACCAAAGATTAGACATTAAACAAACTCTTCCATTCAAATTTTTAAAAATGTCAAATAATTCACTTTTAACATCCTCAAATTTCTTTAAAATCCTGTTTCTAGTAGTATTTCTTGAAAAACCTTCATATTGCGGTGCAAAACTTTCATGAATCATTTTGGTAAAATCGGGACATTCACTAGTAGTAAAAGGTTTGTTAGGTCCCTTGATTGTCAAATCCGGATACAAAACCTTGTGTTGTAAAAATTATTTATGTTCTGTGTTTTTGTTCTTCCCGCTCGAGCGGGGACATTGACGCTCGAGCGGAGTTTGTGGTCTCTCAGTATTTTTGATAGGTCTGTAAAAGTACTGGAGTGCGTAATTTTGCGCTCGAGCGGACCACTGTGTTACCACACACGTATTTTGTTGAAGCCGCTCGAGCGGGATGTTGGGTGCTCGAGCGGAGATCGCGGATTCAGGATTCCTATTTATATCTTTTTAGGTTGTTTTTAGGACTACTTTTTCTAAATCTTATTCAAGGGTCCTAGGGTTTTGTTTGAGGGGTTCTTCTGGAGTTTTGGTGAGTTTTCCTTGATGTCTTGAGAAGAGTTCTTCACTCATGATCTAAAATACATACATCAAGGAGTTGGTTTCTTTAAATTCAAGAGAGAGTTCTCTTCGGTGGATTCCGAAGATTCAAGCGTATAGTTTCAAAAGGCGTTTGATCTTATACGTGGTCGTTCATTCGACAAGTGAGGTTGTGGAGTCAACTTCAGGATTGATCAGTTCCGAGACGAAGTCGTGGAGAAAGAGTTACAGAAGATTCGAAGACAAATTGACTGAGTTGGGTAATTTGTATGATATCTTTGTAATCTTTTTTACTTCAGTAGTGGATTGATTAGCGGCGTTTCGCCCGTGGTTTTTTAATCACAGTTGGAGGTGTCCAATTGTGGTTTTTTCCACGTAAAAATCGTTTGTGTCGATTTATTAATTATTCTGAAAAAACAAACAGTCTAAATCACTTTCATAAGTGCTTGTTGATTTAGATTGTGTGTTTTGGATTTCTGGGATTTGGAATATTTTAATCTTGATCTAATCATGAATCACTTAGGATTTTCAATTGGTATCAGAGCGGGTCGCTCTTTTTTTAAAAAAAACATAGGAGTGTGATTTTGTGTGACTAGTGATATGGATTGAAATAGATTAACCAGTGCAGGGCCAAACCTGCGGAACTTCCAATGCATCAAAAATAAGCTGTCAAGAGGGCTCAAACTTAGCACCAAGCACACACAGGTTGGCCGCATTTCCACTAGACCAACACTCCACATTTGATTTGATGTTAATAGTGGATGTATGTTATTTATTGTATTCAACATATTTTCTCTAACATACTATTATAATTCAATTGCTGAAATATATTTTCTCTAACATGTTTGGTAATCATTCCGTTTACCGTTTATATTTATAAAAATTTTAAAAACTACAATATAAACTTGTTTGGTAGATTTTAATTTATAAACTGTAGGTCACAGTTTTTAAATTGAGCTGGAAATCATAAACTGAAAAAATCTGTTTACGTTTCCTGTATACGTTTGTTTAAAAATTTGAAAATCATAAATTTCTTTATTTATATTTGTTTAAATTGGTGATTTTGTTTTGGAGGCTACTATTCTGTTGAGGATGAGTATGCAACACGTGCAACACGAGTCGCCGAACCTCGACAGTGGTGGAGGTGAAGCTCAACAGTGGAGATGGTGAGATCGACAACGTGTAGTGGCGGATGATTGCCTCCCTACTTCCCCTACAATGCTCAGTGTCACTTTTACACCGCCGCTACACCCCCAAACTCCCAGCGAGGGAGATGGAGAAGGAAGAGCTGCCAGGGCAAGCCGAACACTGAATGGTGGAGGAGAAGATGCCTGTGGCAAAGATAACAAGTGTGGTGGCTGAGAACTGAATGATAGTAGCGAGGGACGGTCGATCTGCCGCGGCAAAAGAAGAGGATGAGCCGTTGACGGCGATGGTGTTTTGATCGGGAAGAGACGAGGATGAGAACGAACATGTTTTTTGATCGGGAAGAACAGATTTTAATTGGTGTTTTGATCCCATTGTCATAAATAATAAAAAAATAAATATAAATATTTTAGGCCTTAGTGAACATGTTTTTTAGTTTATGTTTTTTTAAAAATAAACAAAAATAAGTTTATAAAAATTTTGTAAACATAAACGTTATCTAAGTAATTATGATGTCACAGTTTAATTTCAGTTCACCTTACGGTTGAACTAGTGACCCATGACGCAATCACTTTTCCAATTTGATTAATGGTCCTCATTTCAAAAACATTGGATTTTATTATGGTGATTAGTCAACAATAACCTTGAAATTGTGAGAGACAAATAGAAGATAGACAATTTTACTAATGCTAGAAATCTTCACTTTGTAGGGTCACTAATGCTAGAAATCTTCGCTCTGTAGGGCCACACGAAGTAATTTGAACTAAGAAGGAACATGGTTGCGTTGCGTGTCATTAGTGACAACCCGTGATCTTCTTTTCTATTAGAATTAGGTGAGGAATGGCTTTCATGGGATCCTTAAAAGCAGTAAAAATCTGTGTCAAAAATAAGGTAAGACTTCAAACTTTGACACAGTAAAAAGAGTAAAAATACTCTGCGGTAAGCCTAATGTTGCATCATTAATCAAAACCTATAACAAGATTCCCCCATTTTCATGGCAACGGAACATTTTATTGGGCTAAAAGACTTTTAATTACTTCACATATGGGTAACATAGCTAATAGCAAATTCCAACTGAAATACCTAGGAATGAAGAGTGTTTGTACGAAACATAGCATGATATGACCAGGATAATTTTTACACCGAGAGCATCCTACATGTGAAAAATTATCGGTTGGTACTAAGCGCCGCGTGATCATATTTCAAGCTAATCACAAACCTTTATATCCCCTCATGTTCTCCAATCACCCAATATAAAATCGTGAATCTCATATCCTCCACTAATCACAATATATATGGAACGCCACGTGACGTTGCCCTTGGACCAACCAATAACTTCTCCCTAGATGTGCACGGATCTGTAAGTAAATGGTCTGCACTACTTCAATTGCTGATAGAAAGAAATTAATTTTATAGAACCAGAATTGACAATATAAATGTGAGCTATTGATTTGCTGTCTAAACTGTTGGTTTGTCTTGTGAATCAACTGCAAAAAAATAAAATAATAAAAAATCATCTGCAACTCCTTTTATGATTTCAGAAGTTAGCTTCAATTAAGCTGGATATTGAAAGAAAATAAAAAGAAACTCATCATATTCAAAATGAATTTTACGTAAATCATCGTGTATTTAATTTACCAATAACCCTTACAAGAACAATCTCCATCTTTGAAATGGTGAAACCTATTCCTGTCTCTCACAATGATCTCTCTATTATAAATTTCAGATATCATTATTGTTACAGCATGACAATCCCAACAAGCACGAAGGTTCTTCACAATCCCAGAATTGAGAAGTATGCTAAGGCCGAGGAAGACATGCCGAGAATAATGGTTGGTGACTCTAAGGTAGTCTTTTCCTCATGGCTGGACTCAAAAGAACAGAGGGGAAAGCCGTAGAGATGCAAAAAGATGGAAGGTGGTTAAGAAGCTTAATATCACCCATGATGTGCTAGTATAGGTCAATTCCTCTAGAAAAACAAAAGACACAATGCCACAAGTCCATAGAGAAAAATGATCACTATGGCGGAAGACTCCAAAATTTGCTAATCTAAGAGTGTGTATAGAATGAGACATGCTTATCAAAGAACACACAATCTGAAATGAGTAATAACTACAGAAAGCATACACATATTAACATGTAATGGATATTCTCATCGATTCCAATATGTACCAAGGACTTCTCAAAAATTTCAAGTTTGCAAAACCATACTAAGAAAATCTTTTTGGATTTTTTTTCTCTCAAAAAAAAAAAAACA